CCCAATAAAATATGTAAAGTGTAACTGAAAAACTAAATAACTCTTTTGGCCCTTCAGGAGAGTTATGGCTTAGATGATGGCCAATAAAGAATCACAAAACAAGGCACATACAGTTTACACTATAATTACAAAGTAAGACATGCTATGAAGGCCCTTTGAATTCACTTGACAAGAATGACAAGTATCTACTAGATCCAGTTCTTTAATAATCTTGCTGTTTTTTACTCAAAGTGAGTTAATATATAGTAACCAATGTGTGGATTTTAGATATGGAGGACTTTACATTGTCAGTATTAATTAGAACTTGTTCAATATTACAAATACATTTAATTACATTGAAAATTGTATATCTGTTATAATTAAATGCTCTTTATGTAGCAGTTGTAATAAAAATCATATTATTATACTACTAGTCATTCAAGATAACTAAGTAAATTTGAATGCCAGTTTCATTTCTATCCAGGAAATTGTTGATATAGAATGTAGAGTCATAGTAAAATTTTTTGTAGTGAAGGACTTTGTTATAAAACACATTATTCTTGGGTTCCAGGTTAGGTATGTCTATTTCTGATTGCTTTTTGGAATATTGCCAAAGCAATCCTAGGCAAGTGAGAGATAAGTGCTGAAATTGTAAAGGTCCAATTTTTTTATCAAATCTATATTCGTTCAGTCCACTTATTCAATGAATATTTGTTGATCACCTCTGCTATGCTAGGAACTAGACAATATGATGGTAAATAAAATGGAAATTATCTCAGCCTTCATGAAGCTGTGAATGTAACAGGTTAAATATGTTTATTGTTGCTTCCTCACTAAACCCCACTAAAGTAAAAAATAAGAGATCCTATCTCTGTCCCTACCCACATAGGCAGCTGTGCCTTCTTCACCCTCTGGGAAGACTGAAAAGGTCTGTGGATTCTGGGACAGTGGGCACAGCTGAGGATGAGGGTACCACACAGAAAGTAGTGGGTAAAGGATTCTGTGACTCCCTTGGCCTCTTTCTACCACTTTACTCTGGGCACAGAGGCTTCCCAGGAAGGAGTTGGGAGGATTCCTCTCTGAGAAACCAAGAACAAAAAATCTACAGATGCTGTCACTTGGGGGTTTTGCCAGTGAATTGGCCAAGCCAGAGCTATCTCCAGAGAAGCCTGTGACTTGACAACCCCAGCCCATGCCACAGTAGCATGTTTGTGATGTCACTATTTTTTTTATATTTTCATAACCGTATTTCAGTATAATTAATTTCCTCTGTAATAATATGTGTTTAAAAATATTAATCTGAGAAGGGATCCATAGGCTTCAATAGACTGCCAGAAGGTCCTTGGTATATAGAGGTGTCAAACTCCCCCTGTAGAGAGATTTGGTGATCACTTTTCCTCTTGCCATGGAACCAGTCATTCATTGACCATTCACTCCATCAATATTTGTTGAGGGCTTTCTATGTGCTAGACAGTAGGCTAGGCTCTAGTAATACGGTAAAAAGAATCACTTATTAAATGAATCTTCTGTTTATAGGTATGTGTGGCTGATGATTCAGCAGTAGGTGGAAACAAACTTTGGCCCTGGGGAATAGCTAATGTTAGAACACAGAACAAAACTACACAAACAAAAATCACCATTGACCAGAGTTGTTAGGTATTAATACAGTAATATAAATTAGTCATAAATGCTGTGTGACTAGATCAGCTGGGGCACCCCTCACAAGAGGTGACTCTTGTGTTTCTGTTAGTCATGGGCAACAGCCACCCCTCAAGGGAATGAAGGGGATTCCGGGCCAGGCGTGGTGGCTCACACCTGTAATCCTAACACTCTGGCAGGCTGAGGTGGGTGGATCGCTTGAGCTCAGGAGTTTGAGACCAGCCTGAGAAAGAGTGAGACCCTGTGTCTACTAAAAAATAGAAAAATTAGCTGGGCCTTGTGGCGAACAACTGTAGTCTCTGCTACTCACGAGGCTGAGGCAGGAGGATCACTCGACCCCAGGAGTTTGAGGTTGTAGTGAGCTACGATGACGTCACTGCACTCTACTCAGGGCAACAGAGTAAAACTCTGCAAAAAAAAAAAGGAGAAAAAAAAAAGGAGATATCAGATATCATAATCTTTGAGTGCTTAGTTGTTTGAGTGCAAAAGTGGAATATTGGAGTTCAAGCTGAAGTAGAGAAGAAATTGCTAGGTGCCCTTAATATTCACTGAATATAACCTGGCCTGTTTAACATAACAATTAAGCTATATGGTTATATCTCTCATTTTTCCTCTTAGCCATAGAGGACATATTGTCATACTAAGCTTCAGATTTAACTCTCAGGGCTCAGGTAGGAATTTTCCTTTTCTGAGTCCCCTGAAACTTGATCAATTGGTTCTTTGCTCCCCAGATTCTACCAGCATCTGTTTAGCAAGTTTCCCTACCTAGACCCTTTTCATCTTAAAAACATTCCTATGAAACCATTTGTTTTGATTGGCTAACATTCTTTTTTGGTTTCAC